AGCAGATGGAGCTCGCGTAGCTGTTGCTGCTGCAGAGCTGTTTGTTGCCAATGGGAATGAGGACGAATCTCATCGTGCCTTTGCGTACGCATACTATCTTGACTGCGCGAATGACCTGGCTGCCTTCAAGTTGTGCGAACTTCTTGGCAGTATCAGGCACAATTGGAAGGACCTAAGCAGCAAATGGCATATGCTTGACAGCAAGTGCCAAGATCTTGGTGCGATTTGCGACACCCTAACTTCCACTTGCCAAGATTTGGGCCACAGGTCTGCTGACCTGGGTGAGAAATACAAGGATCTGCTTGATAAGTACAATGAGCTAAAAGGTGAGTGCCAAGAGCTAAGAGACAAGTGCAACGCACCTCAAAAGCCTTGTGAAGCGCCCATCATGTCTTTGAAGTGGGATTTGTCGACCTACGACTTCACCAACTTCACCGAAGATCAGGAGCAGCTCAGCGATGAGTTCCAGCTCGGGGCGTCCGGCGTCGAGGCCTGGCTCGAGTTGCATCCCAAGGCTTCGCCAGATAAGGCCTCTCTGTATCTTCACGTCAGCGAGCCCGTCTGGGCGAAGTGGCGATGTCAAGTGGGCAGTTGGGAAGACACTACGGAGTGGGAATTTGCCAAAGAGGCAGACGGCAGCTTGAACGGCTATGGTTTTGAAGAAGCAATCCCCTTTTCGGACCTCGCTTCGGGCATCGCCTTCGATCTGCTGAGCGTCCGCCGCGCCGGGTCCTCCTTGCGGTTGGTCGCTCCGGGCTCCTGAAGAGCAAAAATCCCAGGCTGCGCAGCGGGCGCCTGCTGCGAAGTGGGCAGAGCCAGTTTTGATCACAAAAACAAAGAATGGCGATCGGTAGGGGAACCGTCCTAAAGAGAGAGTTTGTTGTCGCCAATGTTTGGCATGTTTTCAGATCAGAACGGAGCATCAGATCCAAAGGTGCTAGGACTTGGAGCTTCAAAGACCGATCGACGCAAACAGATATGATCCAAGGGGCTAAGCCATGTCAGACTGCAGAAACGCTGAGTGGAGCGAGCCACTCCAGCGACTCAATGTCCTTTCGGCCCCAAGTCCACAAAGTGAACATTGCACGTAGCTTTTGTAAAGAAAGGTGATGTCATGTGTTGAAGCTTTTCTTGGGGCAGCGAAGGAATTTGTGCTGGATGCTTGCAAGGCTTGGCAGTTTGTCTCAATTGACTTGCGCAGACATCAAAGAAAAATGGGCACTTGCGAAGCAGTTCGACAAGGCATTTTTTCAGACATATCCTTTCAGCAGTACTTAGATTTACACGTTCCATGTCCGCTCAATTTGTACTCTGCAAACAGCTTGATCCGTTTGTTTTGTTTTGGGTCTGTCTTGGTCGTTTTGCGTGCCAGGCTCTTTGCCGGGTTTGTGCCGGTTTAGACTCCGACGAGGCGACGTGGAGTCTTGCAGCAAGCCAAAGTGCCATGGAATGTCATGAACTGCGATATGGATTTGCGCAAGGGTGTTCTCTTTGACTCACGTTGGACCCATGTTCTCATTGAGTCATCCAGCGATGCAATGCCCGCAGGTCCACACAGAGCAAATAGTTTTCCACAACATTCGCAAAAAAATACAAAACATCAAATTTAGCTGATAACTTTTGTAAAGAAAGGCGATGTCATGTGTTGAAACTTTTCTTGTGGCAGCGAAGGAATTTGTGCTGGATGATTGCAAGGTGTGGCTACTTAGCTCAATTGACTTGCTTGCAAAGCAGTTCGACAAGACTTTTTCCATATCCTTTCAACAGCAACTGCTTCCACCTACACATGATTCTTGATTCAATTGAAAAGTTATCAATTTTGGTGTTTTCTTGTTTGCACAATGTCCATGTTTCAATTTCTACTTTGCCACCAGCTTGATCAACGAAGATCCCCCAACTGCTTTCGCGCGACCATTTGCCCCCAGTTCCCTGTCCCCAGTTCTATGGCTGCAGGTCAGTCATTGGGACAATGCTCCCGGGTCCACACAGAGCAAATTGTTTTTTCCATATTTTTCTACAAGCATCGCTGAATTGCAAAAAGCATCAGATAACTGATAGCTTTTGTAAAGAAAGGCAATGTCAGGTTTATCAATTCTTCA